TTTTTTTTTTTTTACAAAATCTACACGGTCGGTTCAGATGCACTGACCAGCTGCAGCATACAAGCAGCCGCAAGAATACTGATGACCCTGCTGGGTTTGATCAGAACATCGTCACGATACAGAGACCCGAACACGACCTGAAGAGCTGCAGGACAGCACAGAGCTGTTAGTAACCAATAAAGATGATTTTAAAAACATCTCTGTTTGTTACTGACTCTCACCTTCAGCATCAATGTTCTGGTCCGGGATCTCTAAATTGATTTCCATCATGTGGGACTCCTTCCAAGATCCGCTGAACATGCTAGAGAAATACCCCGACTGTAAGGAGGAGCAGTAACAGAAAATTATGAATTACAGACACATAAGATTAGAATAGTGTCTTTGAGGTTTTACCTGACACAGATAAACTTTGTGGAGGTTCCACTCCTGCCCCAGAGCACAGATGCGAATGTCACTGTTTTCCCCGTTAAGAAATAATGTCTGGTAAATGTATTTTGAGGTGCTTTTTAACTTCTTCCTGCTTGAGGAAAACAAAGCAAAGGCAGAGAGAACACACAAACGTGAGATTCAGAGTGAAGGAAAACGATCCTGAGTTAAACACGCTGACCGGACTTGCCTGCGGGGTGTTTCCAGTATGTCGTCTTCCTCCTCTTGTTCGCTTTCGCAGTCGCACTGAGCGTTTCGTTTCCTCTTTTTACACTCGCAGCTGTGCCTGCGACTGCTGCTCGTACCCTGCGCTGCTTCTTCTGCTCCCTGAGACGGGGACTGGAACCTGCTGCCCAGGCTTCCCATCTCTGCAGGGAAATGAAAACAGAAAAACTAAATCAGAAAATGGTCAACAATTATGCAAATTTAACCCATGAAAAAGCTTTTAAAATCAACTTCATTGAAGCTGGTTACATTTGAGTTTTTAGTAATTATTGTAGTATTGAGATAAATTAAGTCAGTTAGCAGGTCAGGTGTCAGAATAGCTTCAGAATGACTATTAAGATTCCTGTAGAGCAATATAACGACATTATTTCAAGACACACATCCCTAATGATTTTTTGTAACAGTTGCAGCCACAACACAGGTGCTGTTAAACATCTATCAGGAAATATATGCATGCATTGTTAGAATAAAAGGTGATCACTCAGATCAACTGTGCACTAGTTTCTGGTTACAATTTCCTCAAAATGCAGTCAAACTAGATTGTGTTGTAGTTCTTACTTTTAGACAGGTGTGTGACAGAACTGCATATCCTAATTAGTCAGTAAATATATGTTTATTTATTGTCAGTTTAGTGAATTAAAAATGCTTGTTACAGTTTAAAATAAGAAACAATGACAAATTACGACTTTTGAGTGAAAATTAAAAACTTCAAGTCCTTTATGTCAAACCATGATCAAATAATCTAAAAGGACATACTTAATTGACAAACATGACTGATTAGAAAAAACAAGTTCAGTGTAAGAAAGACTTGATGTTAAACAGTGGCTGATACTATAAACTCCGAGTAAAGTGTAATCCATCATATATGACTTTAAAAACAAGAACTTACCTGGGGATTTTCACAACAATAGCTGAAGGTGAGATGTGAAGCAAAACCACGGCTGATTTTCTGTCAAACGTTGACGAAAAACAGAGGAGCTAACCTGAGAGCTAGCTCAGCTGAGATCACAAATTCACCAGTAAAAACACGAATCGGAAGAGTTAACAACGTTTTTTTTCTGACCGTCTGCTGTCTTTATATAAGCCATCCAAATGCAAAATTTAATTTAGTTTCAGTTACATTTTCCTAATAACGATAAACGTGAAATCAGAGATGAGAGAGGATGTTAAAATATGTAGCATACAGCTTCATTCTTCTTTCTTCTTCTTCTCTCGGTAGTTTGTTTTAGCAATGTCACACACGCGACAGCTGCGCACGACGTCGCCCCCTGGTGTTAAATAAGGGAAGTAACTGTGCACTTTGGCTCTGATCAAACAATAAAAATAACTTTCCTGATGCATCTCAGTAATCTATGGAGGACCAAACCTATCATTATTGGAAATAAATGTATAAATATATAACTGGCGT